AGAACTTGCTATCACAGCAGGAATTGCAGAGTCAGGAATGTGTGTATCTAAATGAAACAAATGAAACAAATATCTAATTATTGAATAAGTTTGATCAATTCAGTACAGGATAGAAAATGTTTATGTGATGTCATCACTGAATTATTTCTAGCTGAGACACCCATGTACTGCTGTGGTGTTCTTTCAGAAGGCTGGTTGTGTCCTTTTTCATACTAATGGAGTGAACAATCTAATAGTCTTGGGTTGTTGTAAATTCAAAGTAGAGATGCTCTCATCTTTATTCAAGGAAACAGTGCTTATTTGTGCTAGATTCAAAGGCAGGTAGAAATACATCGATGGAAGAATCCTATCCTCAAATATATAGCTGCTGTTAAAAAAAAAGTCCTAACTTCCAAATGATCTACCTGAGGATGAGCTTTTAGGTGGTATCAGAAGTGATGACCTCAGTTTTACAACATCAGGAAACTTTGAAGTGTCAGAGATGAGACTTCCAACATTGTAATATTTTGGAGATAGTTTGTATTTAATTTGGGGATTTTTTCTTTGAGGGTATGTAAGTACTGGTTTTACTATGTAAAGAAAGTATGTATTGTAATCTAGAATGTGAAAGAAGAAGTGATAATGAAGTAAATTCTTAACACTATAAGAAATCTGTTGGATTAGCTTTTATGCTGTATGTTAATCAGGATTGTACTTTTCTCCTCTACATACGTGTTCTTTTTCATTATACTCAGTTTTTGTTGGGCAAATCCTGATGGCTGTGTCTTCACAGGAATACTATAGAGGGAAATTAAAGGTATAACTGCTAGAATAAAACTAACTGAAATAAAGATAAGAAAATGCTAAGTGTTGCATCTCACAGGGAATCAAAAGGTGGATGACCAATCAAGCAGATGTTACTCAACACTTCTTGAGAACTGGCAAATAATCGGAAGAAAAATACAGCTGGAATGCAATCTAACAAAGGATCAACTCCGTTTCAGATCAGCAGGATCTATTTAATGTGTCAGCTTAATTCCTCAAGCATTAACCTGCAGGTAAACATGACATTAAGCAGCAGCTTCTTAACCACACAAAATGGATGAAATTTTGTTTCAAGTATTTCTGAACTGCAGCCCGTCCTTTAGTTCTGAAGTTGTTTGGTTAAGGAATAAATGTTTTTCCTGCCAGTCCATTAAGGAGATTAATATATTCTTCATTAGTCTGAAATTGGTTCACCCCTTTAATTATGGGAAGCTTTTTTGCTAAGCACTTGCATGAAAGAAATACTAAGTCTGAGAAGATACTTTCAACATTACTATTTGCAAATTAATGGTATCTTTATTCAAATGAAAAGCAGTGCTTATGTTACGAAGAGCACTATTATAAGATGTATGATTTGAAAATTTAGCTTGAATCTCTACTAATAATGCTCTTAACAGGGTCATCAAATAGCTGTATGAAACTTTACCCCCCATCTTAGAGATGGTGTAGCTGAATACACACTTAATAGGGCAGAGACAACAGGACTTCAAACTGTATCTGCATATGTACCAAACTGTGCAGCACCTACCTGAAGCAATTGTGTCCCTTAATTATGTTTTATGATCAGCAAATTCTTAACTTTCCAGAATGTTCTCACTATGCTTGCTGGTCTTCGTGGCACATTCTACAGGAATGTTTTCTGCAGTAATCCTGCATACAGGCAGCAAGCTTAAAGCAAATGGCTGAGCTCTTTCCCCAAGCTACAGAAGATATTGCAGAAGTGTGCCCTGTTTGCTCTCAGACAGGAAGCATCCACTGAGACAGGTGAGACTAGAAACCAAAGCATCACAGCTGGAATGACTAACAATACATTATTTCCTAAAAGGAAAAACTTTAATTTTGGTGATGAAATGAATTGGACATGGCTGGTTTTGTACTTCTCAGAATCTTGGGATAGGGTAAGCAGTGCCTAAGTGAGTGTGTTATTGCTGTGATAAATATGTAAAATAGAACTTCAGAGAGATTAATTCTCAATAACACTAAATGCCTTTTCCTGTTCAATGTACTGCTTGGTCCATTAAGCATATGTAACTGCTACAATCCACAGGCTTCTATTTAGTTTCTCCTAAGGGAGGAAAGAGCCTGGGTTTTGGCCAAACAAAATAAAATACATGCGTGGAATTCTGTTTAACTGCAGAGAATGAAATTATTGCTACACTTTATAGAATATGCTTAGTAATGCAGTAAGAATTTACTAGAAAAAAACTTTTTAGTGGAGAGGTCGTGTCATTTTGGATCCTTGAGGATGCATTATGGGTTAGAGTGACGTAGAAGTCTCGGATCACTTTATCTCAATTTGCCCTGGGTGTCCTACTTCACCAATGGCCCCATCAAAAACAGTGGCACTAGCGTGAAATTAAGGCAGTGAAAATCAAGAATCAAAATATAAGCAGTTGTTTAGTTTAGCTTAATTAAAATCTGTATCTGCTTGTTTACTGCTACTTGTTCTTTGTATTAACAAGCTCAGCTGTGTCTCACACATCTGAAGAAGCCAAGGAAAGTATTAGGTACTTTGATATTTCTTTGTCTCTCTGATACAAGAAAATTTTCTTGGTTTGCAACCATGTGAGTCTGTCTTACAAAATGTTTAGTCTTAACTAATGCAGTTGAAAATTATGGCTTTTTTTTTGTGTCTACAAGAGCCTTTCAATGCAGCGTTATGAAAAATTTGCATACAAAGCATCTGCTTTAGTAACATTGTTTGCATATTACATAACTTTCATATGTATTTCCATATATGTCATTTTTCTATATACATGTCATTATGAAGTAATAGTGTTTGATTTGCTGTTCATGGGTCAGCAAGTGTTGTTTATTTAGTGCTGGTAATTTTGCTTTCTCTCTGTTTGCCCAGAAAGATAGTTTCCAAGTTTTTTTCCTGGGAGGAGAAGGGGATTGCTTACAACTGAGATAAGGAAATTCTGATACGTGTTTGGCAGTGTTGAGCTCTATGAGTTCAGCAGCAAGCCACTGCTCATTTTTTTTGTCAGCAGAAAGCTCATAGAACATGGCACAGGAAAGAAAACTTGTAATACTCACCTACCCATGAGAGCTGCTGTGTCCTTTTCCTCTTAAGTAATAGTTTCTTGTAAAGTTTTAGGTACGTGCAGATTCCCTTTCCCACCCTGCCCCTGTTGTTATCATAACTGGTTTTCTGGATCAGGCAGAACCATACCAGTGTGCTCTTAATTAAAAATGATCAAACTCTGGGGCCCATGTGACATCTGAGCCTGAATGAGGCTTTAACATGGCTTTGTTTTACCACAGTTTTTTGTTTACTGTCACCGTCCAGAGCTTTACTAATTCTGCTTCCTTTCCATCCACCAAGCTGAAACCCAGTTGTCATTCCAGGCACAAAGACATGTAAATGAGGTGTCCTATTAAACTGATATTGTCAAATGTGATGCGAGCAAATGAGCTGCGCTCCTTTTATCAGTTACACCGATGACTGTGCTGGTGCTGTTCCCAAGGCAAGAAAGGGGCAGGCATTGCTTCCTGTAGATTTTCATGTTTTCTTCCCTGCTAGACAGGACTGCAAACTAAACTTCTGGGACCAAGGGAAATCAATATTCATATTATTTCAGCTTTTTCAGATATCGTATCTGAGAACTGTTCTTTATGTCAGAATTCTGGTTCCTCTATATTGTGTGCTGTGCCTCTGAGAAACCCACAGAAATGCAATTTTCAGTCTGCTGTTTTTTTGCACATTATATGCACAGCCATCAGTGCTGAAAGCAGTCTCGTGTCAGGACTGTAGGAATTGTCAGAAAACACCTTTTTTCTGTCAGTTGAGCAAAGGCTTATTGTGGAAAGCAAATGAAACCACAGTGCTTCTTAAATTTGTAAGCATGCTTTCTGTAGTGTTCATCCATGTGGCCAACCTGAAGGAATTGAGTCATTGCTTCGGATCCTGTGAGAGGGAAATGGGTGAAAATTGCAAATGTAATATGCTTCACTTATCCACCAGGAAAACTATCTAGCAAAACCTAGAGACTTGAAACGTGAAGAGCTGCAATTTCCAATCTGCTCTGTATTATCACAGGAGTGAGGATTTTGGATAGTCTGATCCAGCAAGAATTAGCCAAAATCTTTAGGGTAAAAAGGTGAGCATGAACCCACGCTTAACTAGCCTTCTGCAGTAATTTCTAGGCTAGCCTAGAAAAATGTTTGTTCCACTTGGCATAGTCTTTCATCGGGGAACAAACCCCCACTACATACAGAATAAAAGGAGGAAAGTTTATAAAGGGGATATATGCAGAAGCCTTGTTTCAGCATTCATGGAGTTCTTTTTCTAATTACTCCCCACATTACTTTGGCTCTGTTATGTTAGAGCAAGTTCATCTCTGTGTGATTGCTGATTAATCTTTGTAGGTTTTTGTTTGTTGTGGGTTTAATGCTGCTGTTTTAGGACAGAGGAATGGTGTTTCTCACAATGGAGAATAAGCTTGTTTGGAGTTCTTTTTACCTTCAAGCTTCAGAGTTGCAAAGGACTTCCCTCAAAGATTTATAACACTCAGTGATGGGCACATCAGATTCCTCTCTTGTGTACGTTTCCCCTTTCTCCCTTTCTGGATGGTTAGCAAAGACCACGAGACGGATCAGATTGAACGACCTCCTGTTTATCATGGGATGCTGCATTCACCTGGAAATGCCATGTTAAGTTTAGTAAGATAAGAGCATTTCCGTCCTTATGAGAGTGAGCTGTGTGCTGCTGTCTGGGAATGGGATATCTGGTGTCACCAGTAGTGCTGGGCATACGGCCAAGACATTCAGAGAGCATCCTGACCTGATCACAGCTGGTCCTGTTTTCAGCAGGAGAACAATTAGAGATGTTCTGAGGTCTTTTCCAACCTGAAGTTAACTGTGATCCTAAGAAGGGATGCTGTTTTCAATGCTGTAGCAACAAATTAATATCCAAAATAATAGCCAGCCTGACATGACACAATCCAGAATGTCATGTCATTCTATCCAGAATGATTTCCTGATAGCAGATCTGACAATCTGACCATATGTGACCACAGCACTCTTGAGTTTGGGATCTGAAAATTAAGGTTTTCTATGTCTCCTCAGTGTAGCTGTTTTCTCACTCTAGCTTGTCACCTAATGGTCTCCCAGCTATACCTAGTTTCAAATATATAATCTGATATCTGTATAGAAAAATATCTTCTAATACAAATGTTTTGCTGGGGTCAGTTATGCATGAGAAGCAAGAAGCAAGTCTTTTTCTTGACCTTGGCTGATGAATGCCAAAAGTGTGGGTTTTGCTTAAATGTATCTTATCACAGTACTGTGGGTATTATAAGCAGGTCGATAACAAATCTGTTCTGTCTCCAGTCTGCCCATGTAAATTCCCAGGTTAATTAGTCAGCAGAGACCACAAGGAGGATACAATCTACATGCTTATAAACAAGCCAGTCTGTGCTGAATACACATAAGAACCTTATGTTATTTAATGTAAGAGGAAAATATGAAACGGCATAAGGGAAAAGGGAAGTAATTATATTAACTCTAGGGAAGTTTCTAGGGTATTTTATCCATTGCTTTGAATTCCAATTAAAACTATGTATCTAGTCAAGAGCTTCTGAGATCAGGTTCTTTATTTGAACCTGAAACTTGGAAGATTTACCTTGTTGAGATTGAGAAAATGTTAGAAAGAGTTGTCTTTTGTAGATCTCACAGGTTTTGTTTGTTTATTTTCAGAATGAAAGTTTTGATGCAAAATCTGTGCTTGCGCCTCAGGTTTGGTTTTTTTTTTTTTAATGTCATGTGTATGAAAACGTGATGCTTCATATTTCAAATGAAACAATTCAAAGAACAGACTCTATGGTAGATTCAGTTGGTTCTGTGCCTGAACAGTTTGGACTTGGTCAATTGAAGAACTTCAATATGTTGACAGTCATAAGTTCACGTGACCATTCTTATTCTAAATACTCTCACTCTTTATTACTGTTTTCTGATAGGAACATCTTTTTTTCCTCCCAACAAAGCAATGGTAAATAGATGTTTCAGATCAACAGCTAAGCATCTGAAAAATAATTATATGTATGTTAAATAATAAACAGGGAAGCAAGAGTTATAACTTGATTTAGTGTTGCCAGTGGCAAGAGCAGAAATGTGCAATTACTGATGTCTGCAAAATCTCTATGCATTTCTCTGAGATAACCAAAATTTCAGTACTCTTTTGTAGAACAGGGACTATTCATGCTTATTTTAATATTATACTTACGACAAATTACCATAACACATGCTTTTGAGACACTTCAGTGCAATGTGTGTGCATCATTCTTGTTGAAGGACTTACATTTATATTGTTGAGCACATATCTGCTTTAATTTTCACTGGATTCAACTTGCAAATGTGTAGATCTGTGTGGTTTGTAGGTAATGTATCACAGACTTAAAAGTGTGTTTTTCTTTTCTGGATCTAAACCTTCTATGACAAATAAAGAATCTGTGGTATGAAATCTGTGAAATAATGTTTTTTGAATCCTATGAACAAAATGTTTTTGAGAAAGGACATCAAGCTTCAGGCTTCAAAGTATCTGTCAAGAGTGGAAATCGTAGAAAATATTCTTGTCAAAAAAGCAATGTTTAACTACTTCCATATTTTAATTTAATAACTGTTAGGTGCTGAAAATAGATTTGTGCCTTGGCCAAACCCTTAGTCTGTTTTTTTTTTTTTTTTCATTTGGAATTGGAAGGGTTTGGTTCAACAAGAATCTGCTCTTTTCAACATAAATTGTGTTGAGTTGTAGCTTAAAGCTTTAATCTCAATCACAATTTTTGCTCTGTTGGTGTATATCTGTGTATTTTATGAGACCCTGGATGTTTTGTTTTGTGGCTGTTACCTGTACCAGTACTATTCTGTTGCTCTCTGCAGGGTGCGTTACCCACCAGAGGGAGCCAAAGCCAAGAACCGTCGGACTTTGCCTTTCAATTTTCAGAGCTTCCCTACTGAAAGTCATCTCCACCGCTTCACAGTGCTTTTGATTCAGGCCTCTGTCTTCAGGTTCGTCATTTGTAAATTGTATTAAGCTCTATTTTCATTAATACAAGTAAAGGGCCCAAGCTTCTGAAAATAAGTTAAAGTTGGGTGCTATGTTTAGGAACCTGAGAAGTCCCAAATTTTTCTTTCCAAATTTTCAATTTTCTGGAGAATGAGAGAACTGTCAACACAGCTCATTTATTTACAGTAAACCTGAAAGATTATCACATACACCTCCTATTCTAATGTCTCCTGAGCAAGCATGTTTTCATATATATTTTATTTACTTCTAAGTTTGCAAACGTGTTATTAACTCTACTAGTCATCAGGCATTGAGATGATGCATTTACAGGGATTATAGGGAGTGAGTAAATAAAATGGAAGCTGAAAATAGAAACCATTAAATCAAATCTGTTGTATCTGTAAATAAATATATGATGGATATAATGAAGCTGATGGATTTTCTTGTATTTCTAGGTAATAATTGGCTGAGATTAGTAATTATATTTGCATCAGATATACAAGTAAGCCTGTCTGCTAAGCAGACATACATTTTTTAACGGGAAGCACAGCTGGGCTCAGACCTTGGTTCCTTGTAATGAAAACTGGACTTATGTGAAAGAGGCCTAAAATGATGGCCTCCATCTGCTTCCTCTGTTCACCTGCTGCCTGATATTTTAGGTATTTCACTTTCTTCCAGTAATGCCCAGAAACAGTTCCATTTTGACAGAGTTGAGCAGCTCAGTATTTATAAACCTACTTGTTTTATATCTGCAAAACACTTCATAAAGCTTTTCCTAATTGCAGCTGGCTGTATGAACATAAATAGTCTTTAGCAAAAGGTGGAATTGACTTCTTTGTACTATAGGAGACAGGAAAGCTCACAGTTGAGCAATCATAAATGAAGCTGGTCCTTATTACCACCTCTAAGCTGCTTTCTTCTTGCTCAAGTCATTTGTCATTCTGAATGCATTCTAAATGCTGTGTCATAATTTGCCTTCTCCAAAACCATTAGTGTATCAGTCACAGGAATCACAGAAATCTGATTGCAGCCTTTGAAAGTTCCTTAACTAACAGGCCTGTGTGTTTTCTACACGCAGATTGTGGGTAATCAGCCTGTTAGACCTCCTCTCAGATTATTTCTCAAATTCAAAATCTTGTCATAGAAAAACAGTCGCACACAGTGCCAGTTTTGGCTCAGGTTTCTGTTCCTTGATAGAAACTTCTCATGAGGAAGGTATGAGAAAGTTTGTATCAAGTTGCTGTCTAATAGAGTTTGCTGTACAGCTTTCTCAATTAGAAATTGCTTTATATAGTAAAGCATGAGATTTTAATGGGTTTCTGAATGTCCGTATAATTCTGTTTGTATACAACCTAAAGTACAAAGAGCTCTTTGTCCCTATTTCAGCATAACAAAGAGGGTGACTAATTTGTGTTTACTTTGCCATCAATTTAGTTGTATAATGGCATAGCTTGTTGGGATTTTTTATAGGTGTTTTCTAATATTTCAATGGGAATTAATCTGTTAAATATAGTAAACAGAAATGTGAAAGAGACTTGTGAGTTTGAAAAACAAAGGAAATGTTCAATTGTGCAGTTTCCAGTGGTACTTCCTTACCAGTGACTATTGAATAACAGTGCTACGAGACACTATGAATGTGCAATTTGAGATTTTCTTAATAAAAATAGGAGAAAGTCTTACAAGCATTTTTGGAAGAGGAGATTATTTATATTGTAATGTATTTCAGATGCAGTTATTTAGCTATAAAGTGACCCTTTAGTCACAGCTTCTCGTTTTAGTTCTTTTGGATTGATTTTTACTCTGCTCCTAATTATTTTTGACAGCTTTTTTGCTTTGTTTCTGTACTTAATTCCCACTGTCATTTCAATCTTTTTCTTACTTGGGTTTATTTTTCTCTTTTTTTTTCTTTTTTTGTGGGATGCTGCTTTCATATACTCTGGTTTCACTTTTGACTTTCTATCACCTCAGAACTGTATTGCCTTGTATTTTATTTTGACACCAGGGAAGAGAAAGGAATAAATGGCAGCTGCAGATGCAGAAATACACTCAGCTCTGTGTTTGAAACTGTACTTTTTTTTATGTCAGGTTTTTGATCAGACTGGCTCATGGCAGTAGCTGCATGAAATACACATTTCCTCATCAGATACTCCAAAACACAGGAATTGTTCCATGCTTATATCAAGGAATTCAGCACACAGATTATATTCTGTGTGCATACAGGTTAGTAGAATGTATTTTCCCCCACTGAGAACTTAGGACTAGAACACCATTTTTCGGAATTCACCTAAATATGAGTCTTCCACCATCACATTTTTGTTGATTTCTTTGTTAGATCTGTTCATAATTTCATGATACTTAGCCCACTGGTCTTTATTTCTGTACTGACATTATATAATCCCAATTCAAAAGTTACAAGGGAATAGTCTTAAGAACCTTTTGTAGGTATGAATATCCTCATATCATCTCTCAACAGTCTATTAATGTCTTCCACTAATAAGCTGCTGATACAAGCACTTCTTCCAAACACAAGCTGAACAGCATTCTTTCCTGGTTTGGAAAGATGGTCCAGCATGCAGCTTTATGCAGTGTTTGTTGAGACTGTCAGACAAATTTCCGAGAACAAGAGTTGTGCTAATGCTCCACAGGTGGTGTTCTCTGTTGGTATCCTACCATGATTCATCTTTGCTTGGGGTAAATATTGCAGCCGCTGAAAAAAATTATAGGTTTCTAAGTATTACTATTCCACTTCTCCCATAAACAGCATAGAAAAAGGCAGTCACAGTTCCTTATGCAGTGTGTTTGACAGGATTAGAATGAAAAGTGCCACTCCTAGTCTGATTTTCCAATTGCACTGGAAATGTTCTGTATTAAGGACAAAAGTAATATTCAAAGACGCATCTTCTTGCAGAGAAGAAAGTTAACGTGTTAGAAAAAGTTCACATAAGAGAATGGAATCAGTAAAAGATGGCCATATATATATATATATATATATATATATGTATATAAGTAATAATAAGAAAGTAATCTGAAGTGCACGTTGATGTCCTTATTAAGTCCCATGTTTTGTCACTAGTACACCTGAACGGTTTAACAGCTAGATTTGCAGGTAGTGATGACATTGGGGCACAACAAATCATAGTTGCAAGAAGAAGCTGCATCAGAGCTTCTGGGTTTCATTCTTTAATGTACTCAAATAGTTGATTCTGACAGTATAGACCTGATACTTTCACATATCTCTTGCAGTGCATTACACAAACATATCTGGAAGCAGAAGTCAGTCTTCCTTGTGTATGCATCAGATTTTATTTAGTGGTGTGACAGAATAAGGGTACAGATAACTTTTCTCTATATTGATTCTCTTATTTTATGCTGAAATAGAAAAGAAACTGTGAACATTCAACGCTAGCATAAGCAATGTACCCACTAAGCTGATATGCCAAGATTCTGTGGCCAGTGTTCAAGCAAGCAGCTGAGAATTAATGAGTACTCCTTTGTGGTCTCCAGGTAACGAAGGTTTAGAAGCTATATTCTTTCTTCTCCAGAAAAGGAATTTGTGCCTAGTTTAAAAAATACTTGAGTGGCCTGTGTTATCTGCAGGAACATCTTTTCTAAATTCTGTAGGAGTGTTTTTTTGTTTTTTTAAATCACGCTGGCAGCCTTCCAGCAACTTTAGGTGCCTAATTCTTGTTTTTAGTCTTAACTTTCCTACCCAGCCAAGTTCTATCTGAAGGCAGCAGATTTCACTGATGACCTTATTTGCACCTTCTTCATTAATCATCTGAGTTCTCATCTAATTGTATTCAGCTGCATTCCAAATACTAATACCACTGAGATAATATTTGGGAATCTGAAGACCATCACCATGTGACCAAGTTACATCCTGTTCCTTTTGGAGGTAAGCCTCCAAATTTAATTTCTGTTGCTACTTGTTAAATGAGAATTGTTTCTGTGGATCAGTTCATTTCTAAAAGGATTGTACAGATGGAAGTCTCAAATTATCAATATTGTAATTCCGTATTCTTTAGTTTTTGCATGTTCTATGTTGGTATATTTCAGCAATCTCTTCTATGAGAAATGTTTCGATAAGATCTCTTGGTGCTGTTCCCAGAACACGGTTCATGTGATATCAAAGAATCCTATTGTTTTGCTACGGACCATTTTGTCATTGGGAATTTGGACACAGGGTTTGCAAAGGGTTGGCTGAGGCCACAATACAAAAGACAGAACTTTTGTGCTATCTGTTCTGGCAGGCAATCTTCTGTCAAAGGCCGCTATATTTCTTCATCTACAAAATTAGTGACCCTAGCTGCCTGAGAAGTAGGAATTCTGTTTATAGTCACTGTAGTATTAAGTAACATTGTTGTCTCTTTAGACATCACACAAGACCAATGGACTCCACCTGTTTTTTCATCTGTAACCTATAAATTTTCTCCATTGGCCAGACAATCCTGGGTGAACTGAAGGCACACTGATAGTTTTTCTCACAACTTTTTCATGGACCTCTTACAGTCTGCAGCTGTATGCTGTCTGCTTTGACTTCTGACTAAATGCAAGGAGTCTACCATTGCTGGTCCCTGTAATTATTGATGGTGCAAGCTCTCATCACCAGTTTATAATGTATGAAAGATGAGAAATAAGCAGGTTTTCTAGAAGCCTTAAAATGGTAGAGAGCAGCTAGTATGTGTTTTGTGCATCCTTCCAAGAAATTGTTTCACTAGACCAGGCTGCCCAGAGTCACATCTAGCCTTGCCTTGAACGCCTCCAGGGATGGGGCATCGGTCCATTTTGCTTTTATTAAAATGTATATTGGTATTTTCTTTCAAGTGTGCTAAATTTATATTAGATGAGGTAAGTGGGATTAGGCTCTATTTCCTTGTACTTATAATTACATTTATTGAAATCTGCTGCATTGTGGGTGCTAGAATACAAATAACTGAAAATACGGTTGTTAAGACAAAATGATAAAATTATATCGCGTAATGAAACCAATTGCTTTAGCGTTTGGTATGATGTAGATCTTTTTTTATAGCACGACACAATTCACAGCATACCAGTTTCTCTCAAATCCCAAGATATTGCTCTGCTTACTGATGGGTAGGTTATGCAACACCTGTTAGAACGCTGAGACACCGTTCCGTTTCCATCCTACTTGATATTCTTATTTTGTTTTGATGTCACCCTTTCTATCCTTCTCTCCATAGTCTCCATAATAATCTGCTATTGGAAAGTTCTTGATTAGGCAAGTGTTTTAGGGTCATAATTAAGTCTACATCTTGATTGCTTAGTTTTGTAAGTGGAAATTCTATCTTTTCTTTTTCTTAAAGACCAAATTTTACTTTGTATTAAAGACTTCAGTTTCACTGTGTGGTAATCAGAGTGCCTTTTTTCAAAAGATTACAAAGCTTATTAATTATCTTTGCTATTTACTTTCATCTGCATATGTAAAATACTAGTGATGGACTGTGATCGCTTTGCTACGAACAGTTTCCCATCTAGCTGTATACAGTCTCAGCCCTGTGTTAGTTTCACATAGTTTACCCTGGTATTCTCAGTTGTTACTGCAGTGGATCAGCAGATCAGCTGAAGAAGTTATTCATATGTACGTATGTGTGCATCTACAGTAATTCGTATGTATATATGTGGATACATGTGAAAGGACTTATGCCTAGAGCTCATAACGGTTCATCGAGCATTTAACTCACATAAATAGACCAAGAATTGAAAAAAGGATACATACTTTTAAGAAGATGTAGAAAGTGCTGATACACTTCTGTGGAAAACGTCTTGAGTTTGTGGCTAACTTGGCAGAGGTCTCCTACCGCATATGCTGTCTCACTGTGTTCAGTTTGCAAACCCATATTCTTTAAAGTAGCACATGCATCCTCTTTCAGTACGCTTTAGTACACTTCTGTCATTATTTTTATTGGCCAGAACTGCAGTGAAGAAGGAAAAATTGACTTTCACACTGTTCAACCTAGAAACTGGAACAGTAGGCATTATGTTTTGTAACCTTCAATACACTGTTCATGTTGAAAAGTGACTGCTAGATGTAATATTTGTAAAAATAGCCAAGAGTTTGGATTGCAGATATCTGCATGAAACTACTCAGAAATGATGAGCAAAGTAGGAATTACATACTAAATGTGTTCTCTTCTCCCTAAAATTCACATACTCATTTTGCCACTCGCTTTCTCCCACCAAAAATTAGCAGTTGTCAAAGAAAATACTGTGAAACATTCTTCCTGTGATTCTTGAATAAGTAGAAACCAAAGCATAGCATTCAGGTTTGCTTCTTGAAATACCTGAACATCTTTCGTGTTTTCTGTGAGTGAGAAGAACGTTACTATGTTATGATTAATTACCTACGCAACAAAAAAAAAGCAGAGCATAGCTTGCTCAAGAAATGCTGATCCAATGTTTCCCATGCCAAAAGGCAGGATCAGTTAGAGTTAAACCAATGCTGACATGTCTGTCTAGCCTATGTCATAGCATCTTTGTCACTGGAGATCTTTCCGAAGTAACACATGCCACTGCTTCACTGTCATTATGATTGGATAATTCTTTTTTTTAATGTCTTTGTTAAATCTTCAGTGCTCAGTGTGAAGGGCATGACTTAGATTGTCCTTTTCCTCTCACCAGCCAACTTTCTTATAACTGTATGGTCTTGTTTCTAGACTTTGTTCTATATTTCATCAGAAGTCAGTGTTTTCTACACCTTTCTTGTTGCTTGCTTGAACTCTATCACATTAAGTGTAGTTTACAAAACTGAATACAAAGCCTTAAAATGTGTCTTAAAACAGCGATTTTTTTAAATCTTTTTTGGCAATGTCACAAATTGAATGACTTATTTGTTATCCTCTTTTTTTTTTTAATGGCAATTATTAAATATAGCATAGTAATCAATAATTAAAGAGCTACTCTTTAAGACTAATATCAAACTAAGGATGGTGTTTTATCTGACACAGTTTTTTTTTTCCTCTTTGTTTTAGGTTTAAAAATGGTTGAAAAATTGACCAGATTTGTACCTCTTGGCAATTACTGATTATTCTGGTAGATTTATTTTTGGAGTCATGAAAGCAGGTAAACTGAATATGGCTGTGTTTTGATATTATGTGTATGGCACACTATAATCATCAGTTTAAAGTCCTCTACGGAGCAACTCAGGAAAAAAAAAAAAAAGTGAGGAAGCTGGCTAATGCTGATGAAGTTCTTTCACAGAATACAAAGAGTAAATGAATAGATTTTGTGCTTCTGCTGGGGATTAAAAGGTTTTGCATGTTTGTAAAAATTGCTATGAGAAGTCTCTTCAAAGAAAATGACCTTCGCATCATTCTCTGCTACTCAATTGCACACTATTACTGAAGGCATTAAAACTGTAGCTGAGTACCTTGCCAGGTTTTTGCTACCTTTAAAAGCGAGACAGATTAACAAATAGCAATGGCCTGGAATGGCTCATATATTAGTTTATGTTTACACATTTGAATCTTTAAATTGTTGTGTTCTTCTATACTGAAAATGAGCAGGGCAGTTATTACACAAGGATTACATGATTATTTTTTTTCTACTAGACTTTGTTCTGCATCATCTTTGAGATCAAATTTTGAACTGAAAAACTGTTCCAAGGTTGGTGAACACTCCTGTTAAGAAATGTTGTATTTATATGCATATCTTCTTTTTATATATGTATAACTGGGATATGCACAACTCACTTACGAAAAGCCACCTCTTTTTCCCACTGAAATCCAGAGTATTGCATTCCAGAGTAAATACAGTCATGATACAAACAGCACAGAGAAGCTGAGCTGAAGGTGGTACAATTTAAAAGTCCAAGCATTAACCAAAACAATGATATCCAGGGAAAAAGTGGATATCATGGCAGCCAGCCATTTTCCCTCATCCCCAACTACCCAGTGAGATTCCAATATAAGGTGATAGGATTCCCACTTCTGTGTTCTTATCAAAGTAAGATTTGGAAGAAACTTACCATTTTTTAAAGCTTGTACAGCAGTAATGAGAGACAACTGAGAGAAACCGTGCACACTGTTGTTTAAAGCTCTTGGAAGTTTGGTCAGCCCAAATAGTTGTGCTGTTCAGTTATTTAAGTATAACAGCATACATGGTGATCTCCAATGGTTTTTAAGGTTTAAACAGAAATCTCCATGAAATGATAAACTGAAATAAAACTGTCAAAGCAATTCTACAGTATTTTAGCTGAGTTGATTATATCAGCACTATGCTATACTGAAGCTCGTAATACCCTGTTAAATATTTTATATTCTTCTGTTGTCCAAAAGCATGGCAAAAATTCTAATAGGATAGTATTCAATTACTTCCCATTGAGTGTAAAAATTCTCACCCATCAGGTTGGCCCTGTTTTAGAGCCTGGCAGTAGATGATTTTCACCAGAGCACGTTGGTTAAATGCTTTCAGTTGATGCATTTAAACCCTCAGTAAAAACCTGGGCTCTCTGAAAGCACAAACAGTATCTTACAAGAGTGAGCTTAGTGCCATCTCATTAATCAGTGCTTGCATTGCTGGCTTTTCTTCAAGAGCTTGTACACAGTGTCTCTCCTCATTTTTGCTATGCAAGGCAAAAATAAGTTTCAACGTCGTTATGTGTTCATCTTTTTGGTTTTTTCTATATTGAGCCAGCTTTTGAACAGAATCTGCTTTGTGCACCTCAGTCAGTTATTCAGGCTGTCAGATGGGGCACAGGCTGCTGAAAGCGTGTATGTGCACAACACTTGTGGGGCAATGGCTGAGAAGGAAAGGTACAAGTGGCTAGAAAATGTCAGCAGTTTGTGTCACTTAGAAAGGGAAAGGTGGCTGAAAGCAGCCAGCCTGGCAGAACTTGCTTCAGTGATAAAGACTTGAATGAAAGCATGTCTGTCGTTTCTATGCTCAGTGGATAATTGCATTTGGAAGCTGTGCTTAATGTAGTGAGAAGGGAAAACAGAACTAGAATCTGGGCACACTCTGCATATCTCTGTGGATTTGCTTTGGCCATAAGGCTTGAGAAAGAGCCTTACCAAAAGATCTGTTGCTTTGGCAAGTACACAACCATGATCTTAAAATTAATAACTTTTTTCATGTTTAGTTTTTCAAGCAAGCTTCTGCCTAGAGGCCAAAATATCAGGATTTTTTTTTTTTTCAATCATTCATCTAGAGATGAAATAGGTGCAGGAATGTTTCTGTATTCAGTCATCAAGTTCCCTCTGCATTTCCAGAATTTGAAATATTAGGAAAAATTTGAAGTTTCCTGTAGGTTTCTTGAATTTTGGTAGGTTTTAGTAGCCTTTTACAGTTGGCAGTTACTGAAGCTGCAGCTCATTTCCTCTAGTGCACTCCACTGAAATCCACCTTTCAAATCTGTGCGTGCTTTCTTTTCTGCTGCTGTACCTCCTGCCAGCAAGTGCGGGTGACAAGTCATTAAATATAAGAGAGTTGTTAGCAAAAAAAATTATTTAGTAAGAGACTTATGTCTGACCTGCTTCCCCAAAACCAATTATGTCTCCCTGGCAACAGTCACAAGTGTGTGACAAAATAGTCAAGATTTCTTTACAGAAAAATTAAAATACTTAAAATGTCACTTCTCAAGGAAGCATCCTATTTTATACTCAGCTTTCAAAAGTGCATAGCATGCTTATATGAAGACACACCTTGTGGCTCAATGGAACATCATCAGCTAATGCATCAAAGTACCCTCTCCACAACAAACAGGGCCTGCTGCAGCACAGCCAGGAGAATTAACGTGTGCTCATAGGTGGGTATTTTTTTTCTGAAGTCAACTTTAGAATGGCTCCAGTACTGTAATGGCGATGGCTTAGGCTGCAACTTCATCATCCTGTTTTTTCCTATGAAATCAGCCTAAAGTATCTCCACAGTTCACCACAGATATTTTAATAGTACATAACAATACTAAACAAAATCATAATTGAAATGAATTTACCACTCTGGTGTACAGAGAGATTACAGCATTGAAAATCATAGCCAAGAAAAGTAGGTGTTTTTGTGTAGAAAAATTTCAATGGTCTTTTCCTGTATGATTTCAATTATCACTATTCAAAGCTTCCAAGTTCTATGACATTAATATCAGCGGTTCTTCACAGATGCAGAAATTCCAGTGACCTAAATGTTACGCAGAAATCCTAGTCACTATTTCTAAACTGCTTAAAAAGTCTCCCAAAAGCCATTTGACAACAAGATTATCTGCAGCCAGTGTCTTAGCTCTGCTGGGTAATTGCACAACTCACCATGTTCAGCTGACATTACAGCTGTTAGTATCTCACTATTACATTGTAGGGGGAAAACCCCATAACTAGAGTTTTTTGTTTACTTTTCTGATAAAATTTACCATCTATGTGTATTTGAAATTTTTTTTTTTTTTTTTGTACCTAGGATTAACATTTTGGATTCATTTGAGGGCTGGAATGAAGTTGCTCTGGGTTTTGAAGGCTGTGATCATTGTGATCAGCCAACTCCAACTACTGGAAGGAGGAGCAAAAGCATCCCTGTCTGCAGGTCTGTAATAGTGATTGTTGTATCAGGTAATGCTTCTACAACTCTATTTCTCATCTCCCTACAGAACACAAAAATAGAATGGCCTGTTAGCATTAAAATGTTTACAAGATTATATCTTTGAGATGGCAATGATATAATTATATTATAATTATATTATATATAATTATATATAATATATAATAAATATATTATAATTATATATTATATAAATATAATTATACAGTGGGCTGCAGTTTAGTACAGTTGCATTATCTCTGTTTTAGTTTTGAAAAATGATGGGTACTTTCTCATTTCAAGTGGGATACGGGGACTAAAACTTGGCTTTTCTGATGAGGCTAAAAAGAAGCCTTAGAATAGTTTTATGTTTGTACAGAAAAAGTGCAGCAGGTGACAGAGCAGGGGGCATGCGGCCACTGGTCCACAAACAATTAAAGGGACTCTTCACCGCCTGGAAAGCACAGTGCAGAAAGGACAGGCTCTCAAGTTGTCAAAGAGCAAGAAAGCCAGGGTTAAGAAATAACAGTACCAGGTAATCTCCACATGAACAGCAGCAAATTGGTTTTGCTGTTGTTTACCATAAATTCCCCTCTCCTTTGACTTGTACTGTCCTTTTTCCACCACTCAAACTAATAACCTATTTGTACTTATAAATATCTCAATCAGCAAGTAAATGGCATTTCCATACGATCTGTCCATCTCCCTCCCCTCTCTATATCAACAATAACAAGGCAATGCTGTTCCCCCACCACCAGCACATGTAGTTACTGTGGTAACCTCACACAGCACCCCTCTGAGCTGCTGCTGCCTCCCAGATGAGCCTTGCTGTATCCTTCACTGGAACACTACAGTAGCAAGTTAATCCCTGTCTTTTCCACAAAAAGTATGGAACAAGTAAATGCACTCAGAACTTGGCAGTTTAAAACTAATTGGGCATCTAATTATATAGCACCCTGTTTACCTCCCACAAAAATCTTTGCCTCACTCAGACCATGCAGGGGCAGAAGGAAATTGAGGGTGGTATCTGTAATCCTTACCATTTCTTCGCTTGACTGGTGACCTAAATAAAACTTTCAGTATTAGGTTTTTCCAAGATGTAATTTATACTATGGCTGTCAGGAGTTAAGATAGCAGTTGCCATGGAGCTTTAATCTTTTTTTAGGCTTTAGTCAAAGGAAGCTGGAAGTCTGCATGGTGAGTAGAGCCCTGCTCAACTGAATTTTATTTAAATTGGGACAGGATTTCACCCTAATTTTCCTAGTGGAATTTATTCTCAAAAGTTCTCAAATTCATTTTAGTCTATTCTTTCTCTCAGCAAGAGATGAGAGTTTCCTTTTAGGCTTCTTAAATCACATTACATTCAAACACAGAAGGACCCGTTGCTTCCCATCTCCTCCAACTATAACCTGTAACTTTCTGCTAGTTTTATACACGTGGCTTATTCACTGGAGTGAATTCACTTACTAGTTCTACCATTTTCAGTGGAGGTTTCTATAACAATAAAACATTTTGGAGAAATTTGTTTTCTAAGTGCCCAGTAAGCGCTAATCCATACACTGTAAAATAGGCTGTTAGTAAAGGAGAAGTAATTACTTGAATCTGTATGGGTGCTATTTAGAACTTCATGTATGTTTAAGAGAAACAGAAGTGTGCAGTGAGTGAAGTACCTCTCTGAGAAATACAAAATTGGCCATGCTACAGTCAGTGATGTTCTGCTAGAGTGCAGTGCTGTCTCATTTCTTGCTGCTTGCAGCAGAAGAGATGCGAGTTCAGTCTGATGTCTGCAGTTAAAACTTCAAACGTTCCCTACTTAGTAAACCGAACGAATGCAAGATGAAGATCTAGGTATCCTATTTCTAAGCTATAACAGAAGAGTTCTTTTTTCTTTTTTTCCTGAGAGCCAATGACTAAATAGGGTGCCTTCTGGGACTAATACATATGTCACTTGAGCTGAAAACAAGATTCAGCAAGAGCTACCAAGATAGTATTAGCTTTGACATATGCAACAGAAAAATGTCAGACTTTCTGACACGATAAAGTGTCTTCAGGATCTGGAGGAGCTTTTATCATTGCTCTGTTAGATACAGGTATGCCAAATAGCACGGAGGGGGGGGGAATCTACGTTGAATTGCAGCATTTAAAGCAAGAAGGATTTTCATGTGAAACCTATGGAATTTTCTTCAACCTGAAGTGTCAGTATCAAAAACTTTCTGAGCTACTAGAGATAAAAGACACGTACGCAGATGCGAGGGAGAAAGAACTCGAAGCCCTTAACTTTGCTGATGTGGCAGTTGCTATATTTTAATCCCAAACAGACTGGTTGGACTTTAGGGGAAACTGAACAGGGCACAGTTCAGTCCAACTGAGTCTGAAGAACAGAATCTCAGATTAAGACTTTAAAAGTCTGATCTATTACAGCCAGCAGTGGAACAAGTTATGGTGGTGCCAAAGTGCTCACTTTCCTGAATTCAGGTGGACTGTAATATGTTCTTTAAAGCTGAAACTAGTGACACTTAAATGGAGAGATCTTCAGAATTAGTAAATGCCATCTTCACAAAGGCCTCATTCATAGATAAAACTTGGATTTTCACTTACCAAACTTCCATACAAGCTTTGAGACTTGGCAGTAACACAATCACCAGTTTGGAATGTATAGGTAATGTGTTTGGCTGGGAAACTGTTGGAAGTAGCTTAAATAGAGGAATTATTGTGCTTTTTAGCAACTAATAGGCATGAACACATATTGGCATGTTGGAGACTACATGTAAGATATTTGTACCTATCGTAACTGATAATCAACCATTCAGGTACCTTACACAATAGATTTAAAGCAAGACACAGCAACTGGAGGAGTTGTCTATGGGTCTTGTGTACTGTTCAAGACCAGCCCAGAAAAATGCAGTAAATACTGGAGATACCAAAATGGCCTCACAATATAGGTAGTAAATACAATTGAATGGCTCAGCTTGCCTTCAAAACACTATTAGTTCTTTCTGTTAAGCTCTTTTTTTTTCCTCTTTGGTTTAAAGTTTGATTAAATGACTGTTTTGTCAGGATTACACCGATCCATGGGACAGCGATCAAGAAACGCTCTTGATTTGGTGCCAGTCTTTATATATGGTTTATGAGGACCTTTTGCTGATGATGAATTCATGTTACTTCAAAACTGAGAGGCAAAAATCAACCTAAGTGCACCATATTTTCATAAACTCAAAACAAAAGCTAAGCTTGACATCTGATCCACGCCGAATTAAGGTGAAGTAATTCTCACACAGGAAGCAGTTTCCTTTTCAGTTTCCTTTTCTATCTGTATACACTTCTATCAACTCCTACTTTGTTGCCCAGATTTTTTTTGTAACAAGCTTGTTTTGCTTCATGATATCCAATACACATTTTTCAAGCTTTCCTGATTTATCAGCATTTATTTCAACTTGACTAGTGAGATTCGTGCTTGTCAGAAAAGGAGTGCAACATCAAGAAGCAACATATGAGTTCTCCACTTACCCTTGTTTTCATAGCAGCATCTCCTGTGTCTTCAGTAATTACCATTGAACTTGCCCAAAAACAGATGTAAAACTCCAAAATCTGGAGTGTGGCAGTGAAATGCTAAATGCCAGATCGCATCAGGTTTTAGCAATGATTTGGGAGTATTTAAAAGCAGTCATTTTAGATGCACCCGTATATATTTGAAGTACCTTGCTGGCTTGCTTGTAGTACTGAATTACTGCTGCTTTTGAGTGATGTTAGGTATTAGGAAGGCATATGCTGTTTCCCCAGCATATCTTCACTGGGACCTTTAAGAATTCATACATCCTAGCAGTAGAGCTGTTAACATACAATCTCTCTAATGCAGGGCTGCTTTCTTTATTTGAACCACTTTGAAACAATCTAAACTTTTCTTTCTGTAACACCACAGCATACATTGTTCATACCTCACCAGTTACTTCAGGTGATCATATAAGGCTCCTGAACTCTCTTCTTTTGTCTTCAAGCAAGTATTCTTGATATACCTAGTAGAATTTCAAGCACCCCTTTCAAGATAGGTCAGTAACATTAATAGTTACAATTTCACTGTTGCTTTGTTACTGTAATTTCAGTGTTTACTTGAATAGGAGCGTTTCTTGTCTGTTTTTGTTGTAATGCTAGCAAGCATCACCATTCTACATGCACTGCTTACTGTAGAGGCTGGTCTACATAATAAAACTAAAACTTTAGAGCAACAACTCAGAAACAGTCACTTCACACTTCCTTGCATATGTTACCTAATATTACTTGCAAATGCTAAGTCCTGTTAAGGAATCAGATTCTAATTGTGGAAATATGCCCAGTATTTCATGTAGCTGTAGTAGTTGGAGATGTGCACACTGATTGATACCATGTGGCCAAGAAGCACTAAGTGCAGCACACCCAGCCCTCCAGCCCCAGCTGGGACAGCCCTCTAGTGGAGATGCAGGAGTGAGTTCTGATGGGATTCCATTGTGGCTTGCTTCTGGTCCTCTATCTTCCAGGCTGTTCTCAAGTCAGCATAACTGCTTTCCAGTCAGGCTTGAGAGGTGATCTCTCTTCTTCCCCTGTGCCCTCACAGATCACCTTGGCAGCAAAAAAACAGAGGCCTTAAGAGCACTTGCAGCCCACCTACAGCAGGTGTGCAGGTGATCTCTAGTTTCCTTGCCAAGACCACCTGGGCACAGGCAGTCTCTCCAGAAGAACACTGCTGAGCAATAACTCTAAGTTTCAGTACACCATTTATGTCTTTCTTCTCTATTAGTGTCTCCTATTGCAAAGGAACAGAAGCAGCTGCTTCCATCATTTTTATTTTTTCCAGTTCTGCTATGAGGTAGAGGTGAAAAAAATATTTTATTTATTTTATTTTTTTTTTACTACTAGCCAAGTTTAGACACTACCATTATACTTCAGGACAATACTATTACTAAGCCTGTAAGAAACCCGCTGGGATTTGTTTACTTGCTTTATTCCCATCACGCTTATATTTGTTCTTTTAATTATTTTTGTATTTACTTTCAGGCTTTTTAGATAGTTGCTGAAGTCTGAGAACTGTGGTGCTGTGCCTAAATCTGGGTGTGGCCACACACCAAAAAATACCACTGAAGAAAAAGCAAAGCTAATGTCCCAGGGAAAAATCAAACTTATTTCAGCTCTTTAGAGATTATGATGAAAGTCTCATCACATTTGCAATTGCTGTTCCCTGAGATGTCTACATCCCCTCTCAAGGGATCCTTCTGCCACTTCTGGGCTTCTATAGACAGTAGCAAAAATAAAAAAAAACCTTAATAAAGACCTACAGAACCCCAACAAAACCCCCTGTGAATATCCAATACTGCTTACACGCACCACAAGTCTGTCAAATTCAGAAATTGACTCCAAAGTGTAAAGTCACAAAGACAATAGTTTAATATCAACCAAAAAAAAAGCTTAAGTTAGTGGTATTTTCTTTCTTGAAATAACATACTGGTCATACGAGAGTCACTGAAGAGGTCTGCTTTTAGCTCGGAAGACTTTTACAGTTACAGCCGAATTAAAACCCCCTATTTCTAAACGCGTGATGGTAACACAAAAACCGGGAACTTAAGACATGGGATGAAGAACAAATGCAGTTGTTAAGATGACAGCAGTTAGGTGAGGCATTTCACTGCCTTCTCCCTAGCGTGGAAAGAAGTTCTCCAGTATCTTTCCCACCACCATTATTTCCAGATTCACAAGTCGTTGTTTTTAGAATACTACCGGGGTCAAATTGCAATCAAGCGCCGTATGCTTGTAACGTCTTCTGTGAAGGTCTGAAGCCACCCTGTTTCAACTATTTGGTTACTCAGTGCAGAAAGTTAAAGATCACAGAAGGTATAACAGCTTTTAATACTCCATTAATATTATAGATTAAAAATTATTGCATAGTCTTATGCATCTCCTAAAACAGCATTCTCTGGAAATTAAACATTTCAATATAAAAGGAGCAACTCTTTAAAACACGAATTGCATTCACTACCTCGATCTTCTATCCTTTTTTGATTTGTCAGTACATTTGTCCATAGTTTTCTCGTTATCTCCTCTGCACTTGGGGCAATACCATTTCCCCTTAGGTTTGTAGGTGAGTCCGACACACGAGAAGTGGAACCACTCGATAGGACACTGTTCGTTATCACATCCTATCATTTCGCCGTAGGACACTTGGTTGCATAAGCAGTAAGTGGGTTCATTGGGATCAATTGCAAACTCTACGGGTGAAACCTCCCTCTCCTGTTTGGCTTTGGAGCGTTTTTTCTTCTTGGAAGATTTCGATCTTTTCTCCTTAGGCGGCTGATCGTCGCAGTCATCGATGCCGTTTGCTATATGGCACAGGTCGCGGCTCTCACTGGTGCGCTGCCGACGAGGTCTACGTGAAGATCTCTCTGGCTGGCAGGATTCCATCTTTGCCTTTTCTAGAGGCTTGTCGTTTTCAGACAGATCTTGAAAACACTGGGAGTGTGTTTCCATCTGTCGGGCTCTATTCTCTACCAGTTCCAGCATCTGAGTAACTATTTGAATTTTTTCATCTCCCAGTTCTTGACTGTTGATTAAAGCACGCTGGAGATGCTGCTGCAAGCGTTTCTTCTGAACAGGATCGTTCTCGGACTTGTATTTCTCATAGACATCATCTATTTCTTTTAAAGCTTCTGCAAAGCAAACGTAACACAAATAATTAGATAGAAGGTACATTCCTGTATTTTCTTGAGCACGTATAAACCAATGAGAAATAGTATGAGTTTTAATTAGTGGGCTTCATCAGGTGTTTTATTCAGGTTACACCTGAGCACCACTTCAGTGTTTAAGGTGGTAATCTGTTGCATGAAAAGTTTCTCAAGTTCTCAACAAAAAGCAAGATAATTTTGACTGCTGGAAAAAGGAAAGGGTAAGACCAGAAAGGTGACCAGTGCTGCCAAAGTGAAGTTAGTCCAAATACTGACTCAGCATCTGACAAAGCAGGAATTTTTGCTGAGATTCCTTATTAGGGTAGTTACAAAGCCCTGGCCTAGAAACCAAAGCTTACCGTACTATAGGAAGTTTGGAATTCACTATAATCACACGTAATTCATGTAGCCATCATATCACACTGCAGAATTAGGGTATGAAGGTCCTCTGCCTCCTCCTTGCACACGTGAAGGTTTGGCATTACCTTTTCAACAGCTCTTTGTTGTAACTAAGTACGACAGTGGAAGTGACACATTAGCAGATGTAGAGTCAGGATTTAAAACAACTTAAACCACTGCAAGTGGTGCTCACTGTATGAAGAAGTTACAGCAAGTTGTGTGAGGCAGAACTTTTCAGAATAGGTGACCTGCAGCTTAACGCATCACAGGATGTTTTCAAACTGCTGGTAGCAAGCGCTTCACGGTTCCACTCCCAGGCTTTTTGCCTTTTTTTTTTTTGCACGCCACACAAATCACAGAACTTAGGCCTTCAAAGCATGTTGAATGAACCCAAATATGAGGCTAACAAATACCTTACAGGTCTGCCTTTTTCTGTTCTCCACATTTGCCATTTTGATGGATTTTAAAACAATATTTTCCAGACCAAAAGTGACACTAGATCTACATAGGAAAAACGGAGGAACTGCTGAAGCAGAAGGAACTAAATCAGTAGAGCTGACAGCAAGATGTGATGGGGTGCTAGATACAGTACCGATTCCTGCACAAATAACTTACAGATTTGTAAGGGTAAGTGAATTTATGAACTACTTCCACAGCCACATACGCAGAACAGTTTCTCTTTCTGCAAACCTCTGTTTTACAAACAGCCTTTCATTTTTAAGTAATTGTCTGCTTTGTACAGTTTTGGCATGATTCGAGCTCGCACTAAATGGAAGCCATAGTTATTATCTCAATGTTGTTCACAGTAATTTCTTTTCCTGCTGACATCTTGAAACAGCAGCTTAAGAGGGAACCGCCGCTTTTTACTATAAATTCTGAAACCTGCATGGAAACAGAAACCAACAGCACTTTGTTCTACTCCAGATCTTCACCAGAGGAAGACAAAGTCAGTGCTCTGCCCATTTAATAACTCACACAGCCTATTTTTCCCTCAATGCCAGTTCTCCAGCTGTCACTGAAAACCCAGGCTTTGTTTGCCTACAGCTTCAGCTGCATCTGCTGCCTTGACAGGGAAAAAATTTTGCTCCTGAAAAGTGCCAAGTAAGGCACTCTGCAGTCTGAAGAACTAGAAAGACATTATCAGAGGACAATATTCTGCTGCCACATTATCTCCTGTCCAGACCTCTGCAAGGCATAAAGCACACTGTAAGCATAGCTGCAGACGTCCCGCACATGGAATGCCCTGCCTGGGAGAACCCATGGGCACTCACTGCTTTTTCATAATGACAGAGAAAAAAATGCCTCTGCATTACTGACACCTTTTGGATCGGTCACTCCCTGGATGCAGCTGATAGATATACACCAAACAGCTTAAATGCACCACCAGCAGGTGAAACACCCTCCCATTCTCCAGAGGGTAGCCAAGTTTCTAACTGGCAGATGGAGGAAAAATTTTGTACCCGCAGAGATACAACTTCACTCAAGTACTTCCTTATTAATCCCTTATTAATTGGAGGAGGCACCCGTGTCCAGCTAGACAGCTTTAAAGCATCTGTTTACAAAAAAGGCTAAAAATAACAAACCAGGACCAAGTGTCCATTACAGTTAATCTACTCAAGTTTAGTGGAGCAGAGAAAAAACTAAAAGGGTTCCAACTTCCTCAGCACTGGAGCAGCTTTGCAAGCTCCCTCCTCCAAGCACCATCTCTGCTATTTACGCTGACCCAGACCACACGAAGGTACTTTAAGGGGGAGCCCACGCTCCTGCCTCACTGGGACAAGCTCCCACCCGCCCTGTCAGTGGCTCGGCGCCGCGCAGCCTCTGCGGCACGTTTCAGCGACGGTGGATACTTACAGTGGGGCAGCACGGCACTAACTAGAAATACAAACCCCACGGCTGTGCAGCCCGACGGCACGAGGTGGAGGGAGCGCAGCCCCTACAGAGCAGGCGTTTAGGAAGCAACGGTGTCCCTGCCCGCAGCCGCGGCCAACTCCCGCCTGACGGCCCCGCGTGCCCCCACGGGCACGGCGCCCGCAGCGCCCGGCGCGGGGCGTTGGACAAGGGCTCGTAGCGGCCCCGCACCCCCCGGGCCGCGGACGCACGAGCAGGGAGGCCGCGCTAAGGCTGAGCGCTGCGGTTGGAGCGGTTCGACCAACGCAGGGTGCCGAGGCGGGCAGCGAGCGGCGGACCGTGCCGCAGCTCCGCACCTCGTGCTCGCAAGCTGCACCCCCGCCTCCTCCGCGGAGCCGCGTCCGACGCTTCCCCTTCCACCCCCCTCTTGGTTTTACGCCGAGAAGGGAGGCCGGGGCCTAACGCCGGGCGCGGAGGCTCCGCGGCTCCGGCTCCTCGCTCCGCGAGGGGCGGGGCTCCTCACCGGCGGACGCCAAACGTGGCGCCCCGGCGACGCCGCCGCCGCCCCCCGAGCGGGCCCGGCGAGGGGCCGCAGCCCGGAGCCCCGCTCCCCGCGCCGAGCGCATGTGCGGCGGGCGGCCGCTCCCCCCGCGCCGCCCTGCCCTCCGGTCCCTCCCTCCCCTCCCGCTGCCCCGCGACGGAGGCCGAGTCCCGGAGCCCACCTTGGCACCGGGTGTCCACCTCCCGCAGCAGCGACACGTTGCGCTGAATGTCCAGCGGCAGCGACTCCACGCACTCCAGGTAGTCCTGCACGTAGAGCGAGAGCAGCCGGGCCCGCTCCCCGCCCGGCGCCGCCGGCCCCGCCACCAGCTGCGGCCCCGCCAGCATCATCCCCTCGCGCCAGCCGCACATCCACTGCCGGCACCGGCTCACGGGACAGCCCCTGCTCGGCCCGGCTCCGATCTCCGGTCCCCGCTCCTCCACCTTCTGCCGCCGCCCCTGTGCCCGCCGGCGGCCGGACCGCTCCGGGCCGCTGGGTGAGTGCGCCTCCGGGCCGGCCCGGGCCGGCCTGCCCCGCCTCGGGGTCCCGCACCCCTTCCCGCCCCTGCGGAACGGCGGCCGCCACCGCCGAAGCAAAACCCACTTGGAGCCCCCGCCCCTGGTCGCCTAGCTACGCGCATGCGCGAGGCCCTGCCCTTATAAGGCGCGGCTAGAGGCGCTGCGAGGGGTTCGCATTCTCCCGCCTTCCTCTCTCGTGTGCTCCTATTGGCCCGGCTGGCGGGAGGGGGCGGGACACGCTTCAGGGGCGGGACCTCTCTTAAAGGCCCACGCGCTCTCCTTTTCTCCTCCCGCTCTGTCGACGGCTGAGCGCCGACTCCGCCGGGAGCAGCGTGGGGTCGCTCCCCGACAGAGGTACCTGCCGGGCGGCTCTCGGCACCGCGCGGCCCCACGGCGGCGGGCGGAGGGACGGTTATGAGGCAGTGGCTCGCCCCGCCCCTCCCCAGGTGCCCCGGTAGCGCCGCGCGTGGGCGGGCGGCGGTTGTGGGGGCGCTGAGGCGCGGGATCCTCCGCGGGTGCGGCGGTGTTCGTTCCTCTGCACCTCTGCACCTGCTTCGGGAAAGGCTCTGAGCACATCCTTGGCTTTCGGCTCGCGCTGACGGGGTGTCCTGGGACGGCGGCTTTCGGAATCCGCATCTGAGGCGTTGAGTAATGGCTGTCCGCAGACGTCTTTGCCCGAGTTAGCAGCGTGTTGGCGAGCGCGTGAAAAGGAGTGTAAACAAGGTTGTAGGCAGAGCTTTCACAGGTTCGGAAAATGAAGGGTAGTAATGAGTGTGAATGGCTGCAGCGTTCTGCTCTACCGTGAGGAAATAAAGCTGAGAAACAGATTCCTGCTACGCAGCAGAGAAGTAAAGCAAAATATGCTAATTAAAAATTCGGCGTCAATTACAGCCTGTGCTGCAGCCTGATAGCCCCTGTGACCCGGCTTCGTCTGTTCTTTTGGTGGCTGTTCACCCTTCCACTGAAAAGCCTAGGAAGCATTTCAGCCTGTGAAAATAATAAGAAAATGCAGCATTGCTGATGAAGACCAGTCTAATAAGGGATTGTAGTTACACACCTAGCATTTAGTGCAAATGCTCAAACGATGACATTGTGCTCCTTCTAAGCTGATGGATCATTATTGACTATATGTGATATCCTAACCAGTACATCTCTTAAAAACACTTGGAGCTCAGGAGGGTCAGGAAGTGTCCTGCAAGGGCAGGAGTCTGACCCCAGCTTGCTGAGTCCTCACTGATTGATTGTTCTGGCTGACACCCAAGTCCATGTGAAACAGGAGCTTTTGCTTCTCTGAGAAGGGTACTTCCTCCATCATACAGAACATAGATGTGTCCAGCCATAGCTGAACTAACATGTCTCTTTTTTTCCTTCCCTAGAAACAGCTTTCACACAGTGACTCAGCAACAGGTTGCCCAAGGAGGCTGTGGATGCCCCAACTCTGGAGGCATTCAAGGCCAGGCTGGATGTGGCTCTGGGCAGCCTGGTCTGGTGGTTGGCGACCCTGCACATAGCAGGGGGGTTGAAAATAGATGATCATTGAGGTTCCTTTTCAACCCAGGCCATTCTGTGATTCTATGACTCTTCCACCTTATTTGCTGTTTTAAAACATAAACAGTTGATGGATTTACAGAGTGTGTGACCATCCCAAATGTCTTGGAAAGTATGCAGCTGAAGTTTAGGTGAGGAATGGTAATGAATTAGTCTCATGCAAATATGTCACAATTGTATTATCTTCTTGAGTCCTGAAGCTTGATCCTCCTCCCTTCAAGTCAACAGGAGAATCTGGTTGACTGATGGAAAAGAGCAGAGCCCTTACTGCCAAGGATAAGCAAATGATTTTTTAATGTGTTCTTATACAAGCTGCATTTTAGGGCCCATACTGATTTCTGCCATGTGAAAATCACATTGTTATTTCTTGTGAGGATCAAACATACACACCTCTATCATTAAGTTTGTGAAATGAGAGCACCCAGAGCACCTGCTGGAAGTTTGAATAGCTTATCAGATAGTTTCATTTAGACTATAGGCTATTAATTAAGAGTTTTAAGAGTTAATTACCAAGATGCATTCAAGAATTTCTCAACATACAAGGTTACTCTATGCTGATGTATCACCTAGTACCATAGTTAATTACTACTATGCTATGAAAAGCATTTCAAAAGACAGTGAATAAAACCGTAAAATAATTGAGTTCATGCATTTGGAACAACACCAATCACCTGATGAAAGCCTGGCTTAAAGAATTCATAACACTGTCATGTATGTGGATGTTTTCCTTTTCACATCAGGAAATAAAGGTGGGAATAATCCACTGTAAACACGCCTTGCCCTAAAAATGTCTCCACTGACTGTAAGGGGAGCACAGGTCTATTGTCACAGATGTCTGCAAAATGAATTCCATTCCGTATATGGAAATGGGGTAATTAGATGCCTATAGTTACCAGTTATGAATGTGACATTTGTTACAGACTCAGTAAGGATTTGGGTTAGAAGACTGTTGTCAAAACAAGGGCAGCATCTCTGTGCATACCATTTGCCTGCAGTAAAAGTCTAGAATGCCTGGTAAATGTCGGGTCTGCTTTCCTAGTAGGAGCAAAGCATCTTTTGCCAGTGTGAATTCATCTCTGACAACAGCATTTAAAACAGGCAGTTCTGCAGTCTGCTTGGGCCTAATGTTGCTTCACCACCACTCAGACCTCGGAGTGCATGGCTTCTGATGTTACAGCTGTCCATTTGTTTTTATTTGCAGAAATGCTACTGGAGGAAGAAATTACGTGACTGGTGTTGTCTCCTAGTGCCTTAGCTAAGTACAGCCAAGCTCAGAAATGATCAACTGCCATTTTCGAATTATCCTTCCATACCCTTGACAACATTGCCCACTATT